TTTTGAATTCAGTTTAACAAATATTGCAAGCAAACCACAGCATAATAGAGATGCGAAGAAAATTTCCCGGCATGAATTCTTCGGCATATTCAAGAACTCACGAAGTTTTCTTATCGTGTAAGAATTTTCCTATGTTTTCAGTAAACTTTTTCGAAAGTTTACAAAATTTCACCAATAATGTAAAAAAATTAAGACACGATTATAAAAATATGTGAGTCACTGAAGAGTATCCTCTTTCCCTTCCTCGGTGCACATTGTTCTTTCCGTCATAACTAACTGGGGAGTAAGATCCAACCTGCCGCCTAGCTATGACGGAAAATACTTTTTTTAATATCAAGTTGGAATATTCGAAAATCTCAGGTTCTGAATTTGGAAATATTAGGCGGCGACTTGAAAGTTTATTTTAAATATTAAGTTGGAACTTTGAAAAGTCTTTCTGTAACATCATAAGTCTCAAGTTGAAATTTTATTTTTTTTTGTGTGAAGTTTGAAAAATGTGTTACATACGTACACACATGCAGCCCCACCTACGGACATGATTGAAAAATCTCATTTTTGGATTTCGTGAATCGCATTGGGTTGATCCTTATCCTTATTATGAAAGTAGAAACACAAAAATGAAGTTCGCCCGAGTCGAAATATCTCGAAACGCGTAGGGCTAATTCCTCATTGGTCAACTCGAACCGCCAAATTCAAATTCGGCGCACGGCGTGCGCAGTAGGTCTCGTACAACATAAAATAAGAGTTGCTTCTATTTGATCGATTCCAACGCGGAATCACTCGCAAGTAAAAACTACAAATTTAACGACTTTTTTCTTCTATTAGATAATTGAAATTCAACTTATGATGAATTATTAACCGGAATAATGGGTCGAAAATGGGATGAAGTGGCAGAATTTTTTCCATATGGGGCATTATTATTCCAGACCGTCTCCACTCCAATGAAGTTCTGGACTAGACCAAAGTATTCCACGTGAAACATTACGCAAAGTCCCCAATAAGAATCCAGAATATGCTGAACTATTTGCGTCATCCAACTCAATTTGCATACATTGTGATCGGATCAGAGTATGCGATAGCAAATAGATGAGCCTAAAATGATTTTTGAAAAACAATGACTTTCACCAATTACATTAACTTGGATTACGCGACACATGGACTTGTTATGCCCAAGACTAAAAAAACAATTAAACAATAACGCAATTGATAAAAATCCGGAGCATAACAGATTGATGTCTTCTTGGGTAAGAAATAGGAATAATCGTCTAAAGTGCAAGTGAAGGGTAAAGCAAAAGTTTTTTCAATTCTGAATACACATTTATCGATCAAACAAGTATAAAGCGTTTCCATGAGAATACGAGAGAAAATCGTCATTGGAATAAACAAACGAAATGATCAGAATTTCTGCATTTCTTATGCTGCGTCTAGTCTGTAGGAATTGACATTCTTACATCGTGAATTTTGTGCAGCATCTACGCCTCTCTTATCGTATAATCGACCGATTGGAGAGTTTGAAGGTAACGTGCAGTAATATATTAGGTTTAATTATAATTCGTTGAGAACGGGACGCAATTTTGAAGGCCGAAAATTTAATTTTCTATGTAGAAATTGACAAATTCATTAGTTTTTTAATGAAATAAATTCCAATCAAGGGTGTTCTACGCCCATATATATCCAAAATTAAAGTTTTTGCATTTTCCGGGCAAACTTACTATGGAATTGATACAGAAAAATATAACGTTTTTGCGTTTTGCATTATTTAATGACTCACAAAGTTCCAACATGGTGCCAATATTTTTCAGTGTTTCTTCTAAACTCTTAAGAAGAATCACAAAACTGTAGCGAAAATGGATGACAATGATCGCACCATCTTAATACTTCGTGGACCATTAAATAATGACAATATGCAAAAAAAAGTTTATTTTTTGACATCAATTCCATCGATAATTTGCCAAAGAATTTTAAAAACGTGAATTTTAATTATATATGAGCGTGGAACATCCTTAATGGTTTTCCAGTTAATTAGACGTCAAATAGATTACTTTTTAAATAATATATAGTAATTGTAAACAAAATTTATTCAAAGGAGAATATAACATTCAGCGCCAAAAATTGAAATCGAAATTGAATTAATTAATTAATTTATTTAATTCTGAATTTTTCCAACGATAGACTTCATAATTTATCCATTAGTTAGACATCAAATAGATTTTGGAAAGTAATATAGTATTTTTAATTATAATTAGCTACTCAACGTGGATTTAATGATTTTTGGAAATGAGACAATTTACTCTAATTTTCTATTTTTTTTTTTTTTTCATATATTTAGGTAAAATGGAAGGTAACGACACTGACGAGATAACAGTGACATCCGAGGAGTTATTGCCCAGTGGAATGATACCTCCGAGACATGTCAAGGAGATTATTGCAGAGGAGAGGGCAAAGGTTGAAGCTGAGAAAAATATCGCCTTGAAGAAGCTGGAGGAAACCTTTGAGCAGGTGATGTCTGCCATCGTGACATCAGATTTCTCAGATCCTGATATGATTCATGTGCCACTGACGAGAGAAGAAATCGTGGAATCAATTAAACAGAGAGACCCTTATGATATTCAGTTTTTAAAGAAAACTGAGAAGCGAGAGGAGCTGGATCAGGACTCGGATGGAAATGAAGATGGGGAGGAATTTTCCGGTTGCACAATCTCGGAAATTTTTGAACCCGTCAGATCGGATTTAGAAGGGAAAATTGAGATGAAGGTTTGTCATTTTCTCTTTCAAATGTGTGGATTTTCCTTTATTTTATTTATGTATTTTATTTGTTCGTTTTACGGACTTCTTCGTCCTCTCCTGTTTCGACTACGATCTCTTCTAGTTACAATCTTATTTTATTTGCATTTAATGAATATGATTAGGAGGTAGTGGAAGGGGTAGTTGTGTCGTTTATAGATACGTAGCTCTCGGTCTTATTTGTTGGATAGAGACGAAACTTTTACTTGGTCGATACGCTACCGCGTATCTCGATATATTTGTGTGGATTTTTTGGCGGTAAATTTAATAAGCTGCTATCAAAAATTTTAGGCTTCGGAGACAGCAGAACGCATGAAGGACTTGATGCTTCATAGTCTGCCAGACGACTTCGATAAATTTGAAAGAATCGCTGAGCAGAAGGTCCTGAAAAAACGTTCAGTTCTCACGGAACGAAAAAAAAATTAGAAAAGAGCGAGGAGTTTGCCGTTTTTTCTTTTTGAATGGAACCATTTTTTTTAGGACGAGACAAATTCAAACTGTGACATTGAAACGGGAAACTCGTCGGAAGGAATTTCCGATGAATCCTTGTCGTTATTTGAAGATATTGTGAGAAAAGAACCAATCCCTGGCAAAGTTTACGATTTTGACGAGAAAAAACATGGCGTCAGGTAAATATTATAAGAAGTTTCCGTCAAAGGGGAAATTACTTCGTTATTCTCTTTTTCAGGATGACTGAGGAATTTTTAAAGAAACATTGCAAGGAAAATAAATTGTACGAAACTCCGTATCTCAATGATGTCCTGTACCTGCATTACAAAGGTACAAAATGGTCAACAATATTTCGAGTGAAATACAAGGAGATAAATTTGTTGAAAAAAATTTGCGTAATGCCAGTGGAGAAATTGCTTGTTGTTAAAAATTTTTGTTATCTAGTCATGGAAATTAGTTTATCACCGACATATTTATAGAAACCGACATAAATGAAAAAAGAATAATCTGACGAAGTAGCTAACTTGACTTAGCTTTTTATTTAAAAAAAGCATGGAGAATAACTCTCGTTAATTTTCGAACGTCAAAAAAAATTTGAGCAAAGTCGCCGAATTTTTAGTTCATGAGATATAGATAGGCAACACGCTAGAGTTTCTAAAAATTGTCAACTTGTTTCTCAACTTGTTTCATCTTTTTATGAGCATTGGAATGATTTCCGCAATACAGTTTAAATCCCGAGTTGTGATATATTTTAAGAATTATATATATCCATTTTGAGAATCTCTATCGAATTTTACAAGATCGATTATAAATTGAATTGAAACTCATAAGAATCCCTGAACTTCTGTTCATTAATTTCCCGTATCTGAATTTTAGGTTTTTCTTTCATCGAAAATTTGGAAAAGTACACAGGATTAAAATGCCTCTGGTTGGAAAACAATGGTATAATAGAAATAGCAAATTTAGAGAATCAAACGGAATTGAGATGTCTTTTCCTTCATCACAATATCATTGAAGTAATTGAAAATCTGGACCACTTGGTGAAGCTCGATACTTTGAATTTATCGTACAACATCATTAAAAAAATTGACAACCTAGGTACATGAAATAACGGAAAAATTATCAACGATAATTATAATCATGAATTGAGGATTTTTAGGGGAATTAAAATTACTCAATACATTGAATCTATCCCACAATTACCTGCGATCTGTTGAAGACATTGAACATCTAAAAGTTCTTGACAACCTGTCAATTCTGGATGTTTCGCATAATCGATTGGAACCTGTGGAAATCGTTCAGGTTTTTGCGGTCATGACGTCATTGAGGGTGTTGACATTGACAGGAAATCCTGTGATCAAGGCTATAAAAGTTTATCGAAAGACTCTGATACTCAACTGCAAGGAGTTAACGTACCTCGACGATCGCCCAGTCTTTCCAAGGGACAGAGCCTGCGCTGAAGCATGGTTAATCCATTAATTATATTAATTAATCATTTAACTCCTTATCAATCAGCCAATTAATGACCAATTGAGAATTCACCACCCATTACCATTCATCAACATATCATCAACTAATTCTATACTAAATTCCTAAAGCAGAATAACTGCATCTGACTTACCTTCCATTATCGATGAATATCTTGTAAATAAGGGGGAATAATCAAATTTTTATATAAAACTTTTTTTTGACTACACATTGCTCTGCAAAAAAAGAATTCATACAACTATTTGTCTATTCGTTTAAATATTTACCGATCACTGACTTGAGGACAAATTGATTTAGTCTGATTTATTAAATGTTGTAATTATTGTTTTGAATAGGGAAAGAGGAGGTCCTAAAGAGGAAATGGCCGAGAGAGACCGGTGGTTTGCGGATGAGCAAAGAAAAATATCAGCAAGTGTAATCGGTAGCGTATTAATGAATACTCACTTGTAATGTTACGAGAGCTCCGCAGCGCGAGTGATTCTTGTGGAAAATTTGATAAGCTCGTCTGTTTACGTTTGTTTAGAACTCAGAGTAAAATATTCAATTAATTTCGAAGCTTGAGCCGTACTCGGGAATATTTTTTTTCCATCAAAATTCGTTCTTGATAACTGCCTTTGTTTACAGGAAAGGAAGTTTAAACAATATGTTTTTTTCTACTTTCTATTATTATTTACATTTTAATAGTGAAATGATGAAATATGAAGAATCTTTTTCTAGTTTTTTAAAGATGTTGTTTTTCTCTCAGCATTGATGAAGAAACCAAGACGAATTGAGCCTGACTACTCGAAAAGTCCTGCAAACGCTCAAGTACCAATTTCCAGTGATCGACCGATCTCGAAACTTTCCTCAGACATTTTTTCATCTTCATCCGAAGAAGATTCCACCGAAGAAATCGATGATCCCCTCGACTCCAAGGCTCCAGCCCCCAGAAATTTGATTGAGGAGATAACAGCTATCACTAAAGACCAAAAATTGGGAGAAAACGAGACTAATAAACAAAACGAGGGAAATTCACACCAAGAAATGAAATTCCCCATCTACAATGAAATAATGGAGAGCGACCGGAATGAAATGACAGACATAAAAATCTGCGAGAACGAAAATGAAGAAATCCCGAAGAAAAATTATGTTTTGAGTGGAGAAATCGACGCATCATTTTCCGAAAATTTAATCGGAACGGAAACAGTTGAGGTTGAGGAGTCAACGGATGATTACAAACCATCACAGTCACCAAAAGTAAATAATGAAATTAAAAAAAACATTGAATTATCCCTCGAGATGCAACTAGCCCAGGGTAAATAAATCCACAAGCCCCGCATTTAAAAGACAATTTAAGACCTACGGTACACTTTATTTTTCCTTCAGTTTTTTATTCATTTTTTATCATTTACTTTTTGGTTTTCCTTTTATTCACATTCACATTAATTATAGTTGATGCATCGTATGGCAGAAATGAATGGGAACTCGTTATTTATCATTTTCCTCCGGTGGCTGATGCGATAACAATGGAATTGATGATGATACGATATTTTCTATTTTCTCTCATTCCCTCGGTATTCGTCACCTCAATCGCTATTTAAAATTCATTAACTGCATTTCTCGACGAATGTCAATGGACCACGACATGAATGATCTGATGAAAAGAGTGTCGATAGCGTCTAACGATGAGAATCAACGTCAATCAATTTTTTCTGTGGATTTTTGATTCAAAACTTATAGAAAAACAAATAATTCCTCTCGTTGACGCTATCGCAATCATCTTGGCCTCTTTCCTCATTAAAATGCAATTACATCATTATATTTACTTGTTCATTCATCATATTTAGATGGTATAGAGAAATGTTTCGTCTACATTTTTTTTATTCATGTTTTGTTTTGAAGATTCAAACTTGAATTTTTCCCTTTTTCTCATTAGAAATTGCTTATCCCTTTTGTTCCGAAGTATTTGGTAAGTATTCAAAAGATTGTTAATAAACAAAAAGAAAACAATCCAAGAGAGCGCTTGTTCTCGGATTTACTTGTAATGAATTTCTAATGACAACGAGAGAAAAATAAAATTGAGTTTCTTGGTAATTGTTGATCAATTAAAACTCTCGGTGGAATATTTGTCCATTCCCCTTCCCCCATTTATATTACTCCATTATACATACGTTACGTCAATGTGTGTTTCAAATGTGTAGTTTGTTATTAACTATTAATTGTTATATAAAAAATTGATGAAACCATCTTGTCTATCTACCGTTTAACAGTAAAGACACGTGCCCTCCATATTTATCAATTTTCAATCATAATTTCCTTTTAACTTTTTTCTCATTCCTTCAGTTAATTTACACAGTATTAATATTAGTTAATATTATTATTCAATTTTATTCTTGTTTGGCTTATACCCCTGTTTTTTTGTCATCTCAATCCACAGATTATTTATTTTATTATTATTAATTTCACACTTATCTCATTCATGGCACGATTAATGTGAAACTCTACGAGTAAGAAATATGCAGTGCACTCTTGAATTATTCTCTCCATTTCTTCTTCAAAAAATTTTATTTCATCTTTTTACCCCCATGTGACAGTTTTTTTTTAAATTCAGTAACTCGAAAGAGGCAGTTATAGCCGACGTCTCAATTTATCTCATCCTTTGTCTCCCCTCAGACCTGTGACGCCGTCATGATCTCCAATGAGATAAAAAATTGAAAAAAAGAATTTTTCAAGAATTCTCTCTGAATCTTCTGAAAAAGTGTTTCATTATCTCCACCTACCTCTAAGAATAGTCCCTGACATTGAAATAGGACCCAAAATTCTTGTTCCCACATTTGATAATTAAAAATTCCTCAGAGCCGGTGAAAATATGTGAGAAATTCGGAGAGGGTAAGAAGGAAATCGAGTGAATTCCTTCAGAATTTCTACAGAGGTTTCTGTTCCACCAGCCCCGATCGAAAAATAAAGATATTGTAGATTATATTTTGGTTTTCAAACATTTCATTTATTTCTGCCATTGTTTCATTCGTTAAACGAAGATCTGCTTAAAAAACGAAAACTGATTTTAAAAAATCCCCATCTCAATGCTTTGCCCTGAAAAACGAATCGGCGATAATGAAAATTTCCTCTCATTGAGATGAGAATAGCCTCGAGAATCAAGAGATAAATAACGATACCATAATCGTAATGATAATGAAATTACAATTATCCTTAAAGCATAGAATTAATTCTAAAAAATCATAGTTAATGCAAATATTGTATTAATGATTTTCCTCGCTCATTCCCTCGTTTCTGCGTGTGCCTATGACTAGATACATAATAATGATTTATTCTTCCTCTACTTGACCTCTCGTTACCCTCCAAATGGTGTTGTTCAACTATTTTCCATAGCTACTCCATTATTATTAGGTTTTTTTTCGATTTTTGTTACTTACAATTACCTCATAATCACGAAGAAAAGAAGAGAAAGAAAAATTATGGATGAAGAAATTACTCTTCAGACATCCACAAATACAAAAACAAATGGATCATTCATATCTGTTTAATCATTTCTGGCGACGAATCACTACGAGATACAAAAAATTACAGATCTCATGTTCTCCGTGTTCTATTAACGTTTTTTTTTCATTCAGGGATTTGTCAGTGATAAATTCTTGCGCTATCAATAATGAATTTTCCTCAGTTCAATTATTTTCACTCCATTTTTCTTTTATTTTTCCTCTCATTAACACATGAAGTCATTTTGTTTATTCTCTTGCAGTTAAAGCGATCATTTAGTTTAGAAGATAGTTATCAAAAAATGATTACAAATATCCACAGTGAACGTAGTGTAATTAATTGGTTTTTCTTTTCTTTCACGAGGGTAAGGGCTTGTTAAAGGTTTCTTTTTGCAATCGCAGTTGATTATTATTTTTTTTTCTTCAATTATAATTTTGGGCGTAACTGCGACTTTTGCTCGTATTCTCATTAATTTCTCTCAATGAACCTTGAAAATCGACACCTTACGAATACTTACATATTAAATATTAATATTTATAAATTACAATCATTATCATTAATATTATTACAATTTTTTTGTTTTTGTAGATTTTTTTTTTATCATTTTTAAATGCATACACAATTGTTTCCATTTCTTTAAAATTCATCATTAACATCTAGGGTTTTTTTTCTTCGACAAGAACGTGTAAAGAATTTACCTATCAATTGTCTTAATTTAGAAACCAAAATGTTGCAACTAAAATGGTGAAATTATTTGGATTGATGGCTCGACGATGAGTTAAATTAACAATCGCTACTCATATTTGGGTCCTATTTCAAATATTCTCCAATAACCATATGCGTAGAAATGATCCAATGGGAAGTAAAAATTGTAAATCTGTGCAATTCTTCGATAATCATTCTCTCTTCTAACATTATATAATAATAATAAGTGGATTATCATATGATTTAATTGAATCGAAAGAAAAACTATTCTTTCTTCCCAACGAGGATGATATTTATGGCAAACAGGAGTTCTCTATACAAAATAAATAACAGAATAGTCAATGGGAAAATAAAAATCTCAAGGAATTATTTCTTTCCCCCTTGCACTTTTTTTTATTTTGTAATTCATTTTATGCTCTTATTTGTGATATCATGTGCGCCCGAATTACTCTGTTGATTTGTGTACAATTGTATTTCAGCGTGACAAAATAAAAAAATCGACGTTAAATTATTGATTAATCGATTGTTTATCTCTGCATTTATTCAACCCTTTGGGCTCTAATCGCCATTGCCTACCATTGCAGCCCTGACGTGATAATTTCACGGATCTTATGGATTCATTAAAAATTATTTGTGTGCATTGTAAAAAAATCACTCGAGATCGTGCGTTAGATTCATTATTTTTTATCGTTTCATTTGAATATTTTGGGTTATTTCTGCTCTTAAGTCACATCATTCAGTTATATATTTTTTTTTTATATTGTGAACACAAACAGGACCAGTGGAATTTGTCAATGCTAATAGTTAAATATCATGAGTTGGATAATACAATTGCACTCGCAATAACAGTGACACCGGTCCTGAACACAAGATTATTTAAAAGAAAAATTGGAATCCAAAAAACAAACGTTAAAAAACATTTTTTTATGATTTTCTTTTTGTTGCATTTCAATCGTCTCTTTGGCGATTTCTTCTCATGAAGAAATGGTCTTTCACTCAATCCCCCAGCAATCAACTGCTCAATGAAAAAAATTGAGCCAACAATAACTTATTTAAAATTTCTTCATCTATTTATTCTCCTTCTGGCATGTGACGAACTCGTGGTGGTCATTTATTCATGATGTTTAATCTATGGTAATAGGAAATATCGATTTATCATTTGGAGTCTGGATATTATCTTCTCCTTTTGGTTCTTTGGAGGTACGTGCCAATGAGATTATCCCGTGGAAATTAAAAAAACGGAGAAATCTTGAAAATAAGTGGAGAATTAGCTTTTCAATGGTTGAAATAAAAACGATTGATCGATTGTTTAGTTCCAAATACGAAGGAACGAATCCCATGAGCCTGTCGCTACTGCCATTCCGTCCTCAGTCACACCCAGACATGACACACGATTATCGTGTCCGGCGAGGATTCCTGAGGGATAAAAAAATATCAACTGAAGAATCTAGTCAGAGAAATAATTAAGTAAAATTTGACATTTCTAGTTAGAGTAGGTTTTCGCTGAATATTTTTTTTTCTTTTTCTCATTCAGCCAAAGGAGATCCATAAACGAGATCCTATAAAACATTTCACGATCTCTTCTATATTCAAAGATACCCCTGCAAAACTCAACTGGGGTCCTAGTCCACCTTTTTTCCACTAAATTACTTCTATTTCATTCAAATATATTTATTGGATCAAAACGGCTATTTTACAGCGTGTGAAAAATTTAAACTTGTTAGTTAGGATTCTTTTCTGCAGTTGAGAAGGACAAGATGAAATACTTTTCTTCTCTCATGTAGAAATTAAAAGAAAGCGAAATTACAGGAAATTATAATTGAAATGGAAGAAAATGCATGGAAATTGATTTTACCTGCGCGTTCACTCTTCATGGAGTCCCAAACATTACAATTGAAGTCATCGTATCCAGCTAAGAGGAGTCTTCCACTCTTACTGAATGCAACACTCGTAATACCGCAGATGATGTTGTCATGACTGTACATAGCCAATTCTTGATCAGCACGTATGTCAAACAATCGGCATGTGGCGTCGTCTGAACCCGTCGCAAATGCCCATCCATTGGGGAAGAACTGACGAATCAAGTGAAAAAAATTCATTTAATTATCACCCAAAATGTTCACAATTCTTCGCACATGAAAAAAATCAATAGAATCATCTAACAAAGTCTTTAAAAAATTATCTCGAATTTTCATTCTTTTCCTCTAATAAATATATACATTTGATATATTTTTTATATATGCATATTAATTTCAGAGATATATATGCATATATATCTCCCAAATAAATCATTTTTAAAGCATTTGTATACATATGAATAGTATAATAATAATTATTTAAAAAATCATATGCATATGTATTGAAAATTTGATTTTACCAAGTGCACTCAATGTATTAGTTATATACATTCATTATATATTGTTGAATCTTTGATTTACTAAATATTTAATAAATTGTTTTGCATTTGCTCTCATATGATGATTATAAGCGCCACGTTTCATAGTGTATGAAATTTCATCGTTGCAACGTGACATTGAGTCAAGGTAGAATATCAAATGTACAGGTGAAATAATGAATTATATTTACCGTAACGGCATTGATATCGCTCTCATGGCCAGGGAAGGTTTGCTTGCACGAGCCCTCACGGATGTCCCATAATTTAGCACTAGCGTCACATGCACCAGAGACAAATGTGCGCATGTCTGGTGCCAATGACAGCGACATAACGTCGCCGGTATGACCGATAAATGAGGTGCACTGCTGCCCAGTCTCAATATCCCACAAAGCACTGTAATGCAATTGATTATTTTTGTGTTCCCACAAATTATTGGAGAGACTCGATAAGAACAATGAACTACGGTCGGCAAATGTCAGACATCATTGCATTGCATTACATTTTTATTATTCATTCTCTTCCTTTCCATCAATTCTTTTCTAATCATAAATACGTTTTTTAAATTGATTTCTAATTTGTGAATTCTATTTAGTAGTGGAGCAGTAAAACGATTTGGGTCGAAAAAAGTCAATGTAATACAATTTATATTGATAGTTTGACCTTTTGCAGTCATTAATTTCTCTAAATTCTCGGGAGTTAACTCTAGTTTTGTGTGAGACTCGAGAGTTACGTTGATTTATATCTCTTTTGCTGTTTTTAGTTGGATGAGCGATGTCGACATATCTCGTTTATAATTAGAGTTGCAACTTAACTCATTCTATTTCATTATATTTCAAAAGTCATAAGATACGTTTCGACAGTCGATTTCAGTGATCAACTAATTTTAGACAACAATCGACGTAAACCGTTTTACCACTTTGTTATAGCAATCTATTATTAAAAATTCAATGCAATAGAAAATATCATTACAATGATTTTTTATCAAGAATTGAAAGGGTTTTAACATTTTATTTTCTTGGGATTCTTGAAGAGAAGTTGGATGTCTTACCATGACATATCGCCAGAGCTAGTGACAATCTGATTGTCATCTAGAAATCGACAGCAAGATAAATATCCAGTGTGTCCTGGCAATTCACGACTGACTCGTACATTTCCTTCTCGTGTCTTGAGACTGTAGATAGAGCATATGTTGTCGAGACCACCGCAAGCGACGTAACTACCCGATGGTGCATACGCACAAGTCATTACCCATGATGATCGCAATGGTATTGCATGTACCTTGTTTGTGGTGTAACTGTCCCACACGATGAGTTTGCCATCTTGAGAGGCTGATACCAAATTTCTGAAAATTTAAGATTTTTCATTCATGTTTGAAGATTACTGACAGTCATTTTAATTTATTTTAATTTATTTCAAGAACATTAACAACAAAAATATCACTTCAATATGACTTCATGCGTTATAATAAATCATTGACCAATTTAATTGTTTTTATTGCATTTCATTTGGCTTTTTGTGTTTAATGATCATTTTTGCAGGTTTAATAATTCATTAGGTTTAACTGTTTGTTTTTCACACATTAATCAGTAGATAATACTAATTATAAATAATAAAAGATAATAATAGTCAAGAACGATATTGTAAATAATATTGAAAAGTATTGTGAGATGTTTCATTTTGGTCTATTTAAATAAATTTGAAATCTTATTTCATTTGATATTTCAATGTAATAATATTAAAATGGAATGATATTTTGAGTTTAAAATTTTGATGATTAATGTTTGTAAAAATAATATTTATTTTTCAATGATGTAACAAGGTAAGGAGATAAATCGAATAAAAATCGATACTGAAGTTTTTTTAAGGCTCGAATTTCGACTCAAGATCAATTCGTACTCGCGGGAAAAAAGTTTCTTGATTGAAGATAATTATTCTGGAAGGTTCCTCCATTATTCTAGACTTTTCTTAATATAGAGATTTTTTTCTCCCTGAATGCATTCAACTTGGATTTGTATTTAACAAAAAAATTGATGGATATATTTATTTGATGATCCAAGTACAATATTTCTTGCTATTAAAAAAGTTTGCAGAATGAAAGAATTTTATTAAAACCTTATTGCTAGCCCAAGAAAACTTTTTCCTAATTTCAAAAAATTCTTCACAAAAAAAGTTTCATGAACAAAGAATAAGTTTCTTATTATGAGAAAAATTATCAGAGGATCAAAACAAAAGATTTTCTTTTCTAACATTAAAAAAATTAGTGTTTCAAATGAAGAAACTCTCTCCCCATGTGTAATTCACCAAAAAGGGTGTTATTTGAAAGAAATTTAATGACCAACTGAGTGAAATTTCAAAAATAAAAACTCTGGATTGTTAATTTCCTCATTTTACTCAATTACCTGGAGTCACTACCCCAATGCATCGCATAAATTTTCGCCAAGTGACCGCGTAATGTACGTCTCGTTCGCATTTGTATCCGTCCAATGGGTTCCATCCCTGCTGTTGCCTGCACAAGGCTAGTATCACACGCCACTTTTCTCGCATCCTGAAAAAAAAAAGATCCTAAAATTACAAAAAGAAAAAAGCCTCACGCGAAAAAAATTCCCAAAAACCTCCAGACATCCCCCCACCGACTGATAATCCGCGTAAAAATGACTCTGAGTCGATAATACAAGAATTTTATAATTGCCGGAGATTTTCCCCTTCGGCTGTTTATTTTCCAAGATATTTTTGACTTCTGGAAGAGCAAATAGCGGAAAAAAAGCAGTATAAAGTGTTTCGACATTGAGAATACACTTGTATAGTAAAGGGGGAAAAATAGAGGATTTATTTTTTCTTCTTCTGGTTTTTTTTTGTGGTGCACAAGTGTAACAGAGAAAGCACCAGTGGAAGCGTGAGAAAGAGGGATGGTGGTGTATTGATCAGAGAAGCGACCGTTATGCCGCGCCCTACTACCACTACTACTGGTTTCTGCTGGTGCCAACACCAATACCACCACCAATCCATCCATCGAGTTTCACAGCTTCAATTCATTAAAATCTTGAGACAAAAAATTATGTCATTTCAGCAATTAGACTTGGCGAAAATCAAATTCACATGAGGGTTCACCCTGTAACTTCTTCCCCAAGTCTTCGTCCAAATTTTTTACTTTTTATCCCCCAGTATGTCGGAATTTTAATACAAATAACAGATTTACGAGGGAAAATTTTTAAAAACTGTGGACTTTGTAGTGATGTTTTTTTGTGGATATCATTAAATGCAAATTGCGCTTCATTAAATTTTTTTTTTACCCCCAAAATGTCAGAAGTTTACTGAAAATCACAGATTTATTAGGGAAAATTAGAAAAAAAACTATCGAATTTGTAGAAGAGTCATCGTTTTTTGCACACATCTTCAATCATTATTTTTTTGGTTTTTCATCAAATCAATCAAATTTATTGGACAAATTTCTTGGAGATATCATGAGAACTACGTGGGATAATGAAATTTTAATTATAACCTTTTTTGTGGAGCTAATGAAAAACTTTAAAAAATTAAATCACAAAGATTTCGTTATTTCCACTGGTTTCCTGAATATTTGGACAACTTTGCTACTGACTTTCCGTGCAAGGACTCGAAAATCAATACAAATCGAGGGAATTCTCCCAAATAGATTATCGAATTTCCGATGGGTTTGTCTTTTCAACAAAACATAAAATTTTAGGAACTGAAAAACCTCTTCAACTCCTGTAGTTTCCCAACTCATTGATTTTTCCAGACCCTTGATTCCGTGGAATATTTATTATGAGTGTATTCCCCATTAGCTGTTGCTTTTGATATTAAATTTCCCTTCCAATTTTCCATTCTTTGACGGAATTCATTGACAGCTTTTTCAAATACGTCAACTCACGTTCATTCTGAGTCTACAGTTCAATAAAACTTGAAAGGAATTAATAATAATCGCGAATTTAACGAGAGCACTGGATGAACACATTGAAGATGCATAAGCTCATTAATCCGCCCGTAAAGAACTGATTTCTTCATCAATATTTCATCAATACAGTTCACCGGGTGCATTGACAGAGCTTTTTCCCCATAAATTATCCGACATGGCGTCAGAACCACGGCATTGATAATCGAAAACATATATTTTCATTCGAGATATAGTAGCATGAACTAATTAAGAGCTTCAATATTGCCAACTGAAAGCACGTCAGAAGCTTCAAGACGAGATTCAAATCGAGTCTTCATTTCTCCAATAGAAAATGTTCTCAAAGGCTGATGTCAACGGAAATATTGAACTGACGATGGAGTTTTCGAAAATCATTGGATGCTTGAAAAGCATCAAACTGATGACTTGATCGCTGCTTTGATGAATAAAAATATTTAAAAAAATGTTATCAACAACTCACCCGAATGGCATTTTTCAGGGCTTCCGCCTCCGAACGAAGACTCTCTGATTCATTCATGATTGAATCAGCTGTGTTAACTCGTCGTCACTTGATAATTCCTTCCTATTCCTTACGGTATTTAAAATGAACGTTAAAGAAACTTGTCGATTATAGTTTCAGTCACTTGTATTATTGTATTCAAGTGAAATTAATAATTAATACGGAGCAGCAACGTCCACTCTCCACCTTCTTCTCCACTTTCCGGGTTCCTTTCTACGTTTGTAATCGTATTTGCGGGATAATGACACTAGAAGTATTTCATGAAAATACTTTTGTGGTAGTGATGATACCAATCCTCTTGCGTTTTTTTTTCCTCCAGACGACCCACGCGCCACCACCTTCTTCGACACCTTCTAGCGCGGTCGTTGCCACCCCTGAAACCAATTAGAAAATTCACTGTTAATCACTCATTGTCCCACGGAAATGGCAGAACAGAGGCATCTCGTCTTTTTTTTCCATCACTCTTATATTTATATGACGAAATGGTAAAGATTAACGAGTCGACTCTAGTATTCGCGTAATATCTCTGGATCTAAGAGAGATAGTGAATTTTCTGATAAGATCACGTTTGTCGAGTGGAATGAGAGCTATAAAAAAGGTTATTACAAAAATTCCGGTATCTCCCTTGAATTTAAAGATATCCTGCGTCGTAGCTATCAGTTAATGTCGACTTGTCGATCTGCACGTCTGCTACTGATTCAGTTATTGTTTATATTTTTTTTAATTGTCTAGTTACCCATTTTTTAACTATTAAGGAACGAAAATTTATATTTTATTTCAAGAGGGATTCAAAATCTGAGTTACTAGGTTTTTTCATTCGTCATTTTGGGGGAAGGGAATCGATTATCAGCATTTCGTGAGTAAAATGGTCCCTGGAGTCTTTCCAGTGAATAATCGACGTTTTGAAGGTGAACGGGTTGTAGTTGGGGATGAAATGTTCGTCCGAGGAATAAATGAATGAGATTTTTTGGAACTTGGCCATTGGTTCAAATCGATTATCCTACAAGATACTTTTCATTTGGTACCTGTTGCTTCATTCGAATAATATGGCGAATTCTAGCCTACGTCTATGACCCGGTGGAAACCTTCATCAAGAGTCCACGCCCACTCACTCTCATCTCCCAACAATTCATCCCTCCGTCAAAGGAATTAACGAGAAAAAAAAAGAAAGGATTTTGCCAAAAACTGTAGATCATTCTGGATAATTGGAGACAACTGGAAAAAAAATTGTCTAGCCTTTTGCAAATACAGAACGTTGAAATCAGTCAATTGATGATGAAATGATGAAATGAGGGAAAAAGGAAAAGAGGAAAGGAAGAAAAAGGGAGAGAGATGAAGGAGGAAGCAAGCAGTCATGGAAATGACGGATAAATTTCCTTACATCACAAATTAATCGAAATAAATAGGTTCTGCTCAGAATATAAAATCATATCGCGCCTGCGCATAATGCCCTACAAATCCGGAAAGCTCCCCTCCCCTAGAAACAAAGGGAAAACCCGGTACAAATCAATTTCACCGGTCGCCAACGATCGAGCCATGTAACCCCGTTAAATCATTAAACTTACGATATCCCCGACTCGTGTCGTCACGACATCATCTTCCTCATAACCTCCGTCTAGTCCCTCAGCTGAACAAATCCCCACCTTTGGATTACGACCTGTACCACCGATAAATTAAACTTCACTTTCAGATCCTCACGACATCGGCAACATCCACACGCCGGTATCCAATCGGCTGCGACAACACGTCCATGACATCCCAACCCCTAGATGACAAGATCACTCACTTAATTTCACCCCCGAAAAAATTCACCGATTCTGCTGATTCAGCTCCGAGAGTCTATCATTTTCAAAAAAAAAAAAAAAAAATTCATGCGGAAGTGAAAGCTGCGGTGCGGCGCTCGTGTTGCGTTCACCCTAACTCTTTTCTTTCACCCCCTTTTCCGGGTTTGAGAATGAAATCGATGAGGAAAGCACGACGCCCCACTCGTGACTGCGGAGTTCCAACAAGGCTGTACCACCCCACCCAACCCCCACCCACTTCATCCACCCTCTTTTCAACCTCCTCCACCTCCATTTGCATCGGGAGCTTTCGCGATGGTGGCGCCGTCACACGGATTCGGCTAGAAATCCGAGAAAAGCATGAAGAGGATAGGAAGCATTGAATATGGAGCCGGGGTAGACCACACCCAGGGAAATACCCCAGTGTGCAAAAAAAAAAGGGTCGAAGGTGACCGGGGGGAGAGGGAGGAGGACCCAGCGCCACGTGACGGTCGGCCCTTCAATCAGAACGGCCGCCATTCTTTAGGCTGACAGGTTGTTCCTTCTTTGCGGCTATTTTTTTGTTTTTTTTTTTTGTTATTGCTTAACACTAAATACAAGTTATCGTGATTATTTACATTAACATTAACATTACATTATGTTATGTAAAAAATTCTTAAACATAATGATTGGTGAAATCCCTATATATTAGATTTTACAGTTTCCAGAAAAAATAACGCATCGATTTTACGTTCTTTTTCAGTTAGAGAGCCGAAAATTTACTGAATATTACAGATTTTTCTCTTTTCCTCTTCCGTTAAAACTGCTCTCGTTTGTTGTTTAGGGGAAAATTTATTTAGAATATATCTCTCGGCGTGTGTAACGCAATTCGGGTACAATATATTGAGTTTTTTAAAATGGTGTTCGGTCGAGTCTCAGTCTCGGACACGTTCGATTAGACATCAACTGGCGCGATGAGGCCAGGAGGTGGGAGGGCGCTATGTTGTAGTGATTTAGTAATTGTTAACGGTTCGATTGAGGTAAAGCAGTGGTGAGGGTCGTTTGCCTGATAAAAATAGAGATTTCAATTGATAAAGCGGAGGTTTAACGGAGGCGTCGAGAAAGGGTGAGGCTGTATCAATGATAACACTATATTATTTCTTAATTACGCCTGAATTTCGTATTTTAGGAATTTCCTTGGTGTACTTCCCAGCGTTGGCCAACCTTGAAGAAAACGACAGTTGGCTCGACTTAACCAACGGTTAAAGTCTTTTATCCGTCCAGAAAACGCACCTGTCGTACGGACATACACACGTGTCCCAGAATTTATTATGATTATGTGAGACTATATTAATGTTTTCAACAGAGAAAATTTATGTTTCAGTGGAAAATTGGGGTGTAATGCAGGCGGAGATTTTGGGGTTTTCTTTGTGGAGTATATCGACCTCTGGGTGTGGGAGAGATTTAAAAAATACATGAGAGAAAGAGAGGGATTAAGACAAGAGGGCAGGTGAATGACGTCAGTGACGTTATGACGTGGGTGGAGTTGCCGAATGCATTGCGTCGACGCGAAAATCCCCCAACTTTGGGATAAAGTGGGGAAATATGGAGAAAGAGATGGATATATTTGGCCGGAATATCCACAGTGGAATTATTTTTAAATGTGTTGATCTAATTTTGATGATTGAAAACTACTGCAGGTATTTTTTATTATGAAATTGCATAGCATCGCCAGCACTTGTCGGATATTTTTGAATATTTCTTAATAATTATATATATAATATACGTTCAGGACTTAATTGAAGTAAAAATCATAAGTTCAGTCTCTCGATGATTTTCTTTGGTGAATATTCCATTGGGGCGTGAGGCCTTAATGATTCTTTAATTATCGGAACTGGCAGAGGGAAATTATCTGAATTTCTCGGGAATTTTCGTGCTCACACTTTCTACGATAGGATAGGGCGTGAGGGGAAGTCAAAACATAAAGTATCACCAGCGGAAAAAATGAATGTGATATTTTATCATACGTCATAGAGTTATTAGTCACATCCTCTCGGTTTACATTTCAGAGAAATTTATGAACTCAGATGTGCCTGGAGAGGAATATTATTCTTTAATATTTTCCTCCACACACTTCCTTCATTTTAAAACTTACCGCATTCGGTGAAAAGTTCTTATTAACAAATTTTATTAACAAATTCCATTTATTCGCGCGTTTTCGCCAAGGAATATACCTCATCGAAGAAATTGTACAGAAAAAAAATAACAAATTATTATTCTCGTATAGAAATGTTTCGTGTTTATTTATTCCGAAATTTTCTCGTTTTTTGAAGCTGAAAAAAATGCGGAAATCACACGAAATTGGCAATGCGAAAAATCGCCGAGGAAAAATTCAGAATTCTAACTAAAAGAAACAAATAGATTTTTTATGACTACAACATCGGGATTTCTTCGTTCGACAGGGTAATTTCTATCGAGAAATATTCGACAGAAGAAAGCGAGAGTTCATTATTTATTCTGCAAGTGAAAGAGTATATATGCAAAATATATACCCTTACAATAATTATATGCACATATATATTCCTTCCAAAAATTCAATCTATTAGATACATACTGACTATATATGAGCACATATATTACACACATTCGGTATATATCCGACATATACTATATATTTTCAACTAAAAATGCACTATAACACATATATATATTTTTTCAGTGAGGCTGACCCGAGAATTGCGCGAATTTTTTTAGAATTTCTTAGAGCCGACAAAAAATGCAAAAAATGCAAAAAGGCAGATCAATATAATTTTGTCGTACTGGTTAAAAAATCTGGGGTGGCAGATCAGGATGTGGAGGAATTTAAATGTCCTCACAATGTACAACCGGTCCGGATAACCCAAATGAAATAGAGACGGCAAAAAAAAAACGAGAACAGACGCAGAAAGCGACAGTTCATCCGGTTTAGTAGATGTAGTTATAGCCAAGGGGAAGAGGGAAGCGAGGGGTTCAGAAGGGGATGTGAAAGAGTCGTTTTGAACGTCCAGAGAAGAGCAATGGGGAAGGGAAGTTGGTAGATTTATCGTTTGTATGAGCCATGCCAAATACGTTGACCCAACTCTGAGCGCATCTAGCAAATTCTCCATTTTTATTCACAATTTTTAATAAATAAAAAAACTAAAAACGCTCCATGACAGATTAAATCCTTTCCTGATGAGTCAATTAAAAGCAAAATAGCTGGAATGTTGTGTCTAATCCGAATTTTTCTCACTCTATTCACAAATTATTAATAAGAAATGCATGATATTCATTAATTCAATATTGATTATATTAATTAAAAGCTGATTAAGATGAAAATGGTGGGAATGTTGCGCCTAATCCTGATCTTTCCCACTGTAATCATAAATTAATATTAAAAAATGATCATTATATTAATGATATTGAATAATAATCGAATATTAGTATTTTTAATTACGAGATAAAGAAATGTAAAATGATGAGAATGTTGTGCGTAATCAAAAATTTACTCTGTCATAATCATAATCCCTTTTAAATTGCTAAAAATAAAAGAAAATGATGATTTAAATATTTAGGCTAATTGAGATTGATAATCATAATTGGGAGGAAAAGTTGAGGAATATTTATTTTTGATAGATTTATCAGGATGAATTGAGATGATCCTGTCGCTCTTATCTCTACGAGAAATCCATTGACTGGAGATTTAAATAAAAATCATGGCAATCGGGATAAATATTGCTGTTTGAAACTCTTTGTAGAGTATCTTTCAGAGTAAATAGAGATATGATATCATGAATTCGCTCTCAATTAATTCTGAGAAGAAAAGCTAATTGTCTTCGGGTCGAAATGGATGAGATTTAATTGACTGTGGTGTTGCCAGAAAATACTGTTTCGAAGGATGAATGACAATCTGTTATGTTGTGACATTTTTTCTAAAGAAATTGTTTTTCAATTATTATTGCATTTGCATAATTATTTTAATTCCCTGGAAATATTTTCCTCCCAGTGAATAAAACAATTAATAAACATTACAATCTGCAGTATTTAGTAAATCTATATTTTCCGAATAAATAAAGTATTAATTTCATCCACACGTATTCTAAAAAATATATGTTCTAGAGTTGGGTAAAATCGATACCTACCGATTAAAAAATAATGATTCAGAAATAAATTGATCAATTGAGCTCAATCTGTGTTCATTACGAAGAGAGATAAAGGTCTGATGCAGAAAACATACAATGGCATTTCATCAAGAATCGGATGAGGTTTTAACAATGGAAAAATGTTTATTGTCTGTTCTTCACCAACAAGAGAAGATGAGTAATTTTAATCTCGGGGAAAATATTAAACCGACAATTTGTTGAAATGAGAGGTTATTCATGTAGCTCATCACGATATTCCGCTGGCAATTAAAGTCATTTAAACTTGGAGCATCATCATATCAATTGACAGACCAATGGGAGCAGTCATTCTTACAACACATAACCTCAACATTAACCTAATATTCATGTCCACATACAAGTGCAAAAAAATATATTAAAACTGCAGATTATTCTCAACGCATTCGCTCTTTTCCTCATTCTCTGCAGCAATAAAAATTTGCATAACGGAAAATTGTGGATAAAAATAAACCAATTAGCAGTAAGGGGGGGATGGGGGGTAATATTCATGTAAAAATTATCATCTAAAAATGAGTTTGAAAACTCGGAATGAACAACTCCACACCGAGGTAAACGACAATAATTGACTTTGATGTGAAGTCTGCTTGGTCTCTCCTCTGCCCCTATTTCCTGCTTTTGAAATAATGTTTTCTTTTATTTTTTTTTTATTTTCGCATGCGCATGACTCCCACATACATGAAACACGCGTACACGCATTATGCAAGAGAAAAGTGACGCTTCTGTACATTTGTTTCTCCTCCCAGTGCTGTACCCATTAGATGGAGTAGGAAAATGAAATATTTATCAGAGTCTTTGGGAGATCCAGGGGGATTATTTATGAAAACAAATTGAGCTCTGATTTTTCCTCAAGTTGAAGGTGATAAACAATTCGTGGAACAACAATATTTGTACAGTCCAAATGATGGAATTCATGGATTTTTGCAGAAATGAAAATGGAAATGACTCGAGGGCAGATTCCTTTGGTTCTAACGATCCCAAAATATATAAAATATTCGGCACTATTTCAAAACCTTATCAACTTAACTCCAGGGATGAAATAAATTAAGGAAATATTTTTGGTAAAAAATTTCGAAATTGAAAAATGAGGAAATAGAGAATATTTCGGAGTGGATATTGAATTGATCCATTAATGACCCAGTAAACTTCCAGAATCCCCGGTTTTCTCAGGAATTTTGACAGACTTTGGTGACTAGGCGGCGGCCATATTTGCAGATACAACAGTCTATTGGATCTGAAAATCATGGCCCCAACCCACATTCCCTGAAATTCCCCGAAATTCCACAATTCCACTGCAAAAACTGACGCCCCGGGATTGACAAATCGAAAAAATCGAACGGCTCCGACAATCGCATCAACTCATCACCTCCAAAATACGATTCCCTCCACCCATCCTCCACCAATCACTTGACATTCCTAGAAAAAGTCAGATACTTCATAAAATAAAAATAACGAATAAATTACCTAGATAAGCTCCCGTGCGGAGCCGTGCCTGTGCTAAAATGACTGAGATAAATTCACGTCACCTCCACCCTTGGAAAAAAACCGATCACAGGCGTCACCCCCGAAAATTAATCACCCAGCAATTCACCTTCACACGTTAACTCACTCACATGAATTAATATCCACTATTAACACCTTCGAACACCGAGATATGCCCGAAATAAAAAGAATTATCCACCGAATCAATTTCCAGTTCTTCCCGACTCAATAATTCCCTGAATTTTTTTTTCTTTTCATTCAGACGTCGTCGAGGGATAATAAAAACTGAAATAAACTGGATATATATCTTTGAGGTATGTACGATCACTCCACAGTTTTTTTTTCCCCGATTACTGAGCGTCAAACTTCAACTCCACTGTTTGCACGATATCAATTATTCCCCGTAATTCACGTTATTTCCTTTTGATTTTGGGTATCGCTGGGTTTTCCACGGGCAATCCTTTTTTTTTCAATCTTTCACTCGATTTCACTGGCCTCTGCTCTATCTCTCTACAACCCGGGAGCACTGGGAGGAAAAACGGTATTACCAACAGAAATTACACGCGCGCGCATTACGAACTGGATTGTAGGAATGGGGGAGAAAATCCAGACGACAAAATTCAACACCGGAAGTGACGCACTTATAACAGATTCGAAATTTGCAGGTGCGCCATCTGACGGGTGTAACTTTGTGACTTGCCACCCAGGTGGCAGCTGTGGATTGAGACAAGAATAGATTTTCTTTTCGAAATATCCAGAGGAGGAACTCAACGCTTTTTATGTTAACATCAAAACTTTTTTTTTTCGCTATCGCCAGGTGGAGCGTTTGTTTTATTTATCTCTTATTTGAATTGGTTTTAGACGTTCGTTTGACGCATAATAAGGGGTGGGATGAGAATTACGATATGGTCAATGTGCCTTCAATTTAGTGCTTCAAAATTATAAAATTAATTGTAAATTGAAATAAAACTTGAAGAGAAAAAAGTTAGCATCGATTTATCATTAATTCAGTACTTGAAATGAATTTAAGCTCTCAAAGTAGTAAATTTATTAGGAGCTGCGACTCTGCTCCAAATTAGGTGAGCTGCTCATTTTTTGAATTGGTCATAAAAGCGCGGGGCAGCCATACTGTTATTCCCTCCCTTCCCTTTTATTATGGACTAAACAAACGTTCCTAAACCTATTCAAATGAAACGTAAATACTACAAGCGCGCCAATTTATTAACTTATAAATTTCGCTTTCCATTACAGTTGTAGGACATATTCATTTTTTAATCGGGTATTTTGTAGAATCACTTTAAATTTTCAGATTACAATCTTTCAGGAACTTATCTACAGTATTTATAACAGGCAGTTTCAATGAGTGTAGAATATAGTTAGTAAAATTACTCAATTTTGTGGGATTGATTCATTAACGCACTCTGTGCAAAAGATCGGGAATAATTTACATCTTACGTTCAGTATTTTCGAATTTTCGATTTCGTAAAATAAAATGTTCTCACAAACTATTGGATAAGTGTTGTTCTTTAAGAATGTTATTACAGTTCTTAGGAAATGAGGTTCACTAAGCAATACATTATCTATTTTACGGTTTTCTTGGACAAAAACATTGAAATCGATGGCGAAAGTTTGTCGTGAGGTTGGAAGATTTTTTTTAAAGGACTGACAGTGGCGACGACTACATTGGGCGGGGCTCCCTGGGGTTTATTACGTGGACCCCGGGGAAAACTCCGGTTCGGCGATTGTCGGGTGAAACCGGTTGCACGGGGATTCACGAGAAAATGCGAACTGCCCCCGGGAATATTTAAAATCAATGGATGGAAGTCTGAGTTACATCCAACGTGCGGGTGGCAATCATCAGCTGATAATATTTTATTTGTTACTTTGTGGATGGTCAGAATGAGAATTTGGAAATTTCATTCGACTCAGTTTTTTGTAACTAGGCCATTCCTTCTTTATCCACTGATGGTTGGATAGGGATGGCAGCGACGATTTTCACAATGAAAGCTGGCGTATCACACACTGATAATGTGGAACTCCACACAATTGACTAGTGGAAAAAGAAGATTCGATTGAATACAATTGGATACGATAATATAAAATGATAAATCAGTAGCGAAGTCGTAAACCAGGATAAGTGAATCTCTCTCGAAGCTAGTTTTTAGCCAATATCTTGGAATTGAAGGAACATAGCGAATTTTTTGCAAAAATATTTTTTATAGAAAATTATGAGAGCTAAAAAAAAGATATCTATGAAAATATAATTATCTTTCTTCAATTTTGAGAAATTGGCTAAAAACTGGCCGCGAAAAAAATTCACATATCCTAGTTTAACACTTCGCGATAGAAATCATACACGCGATTCACACGTGAATTATATATACTTATTTTGGGATGAATACATAATTATAAAGGAAGTTATAAAAATGATAAATTATAGATAACATACAAATAATATTTGACATTTAACATTTTGTAAAAATTAACAAAATTGACTTAAATTTTTATGTTACTTTCATATAATTTATCTGTAATGTCTAGTAACAATGGCGTCTGACTGAAATAAAAATTTCAATTCCATAATGTCTCCAAAACGTCAATTCGCCCCTCGTTTCCAGAACTCCTACATAATTTTCCGTGATTTTTTTTCTTCGTGTGGAAATCTTGTGGAAAAATCACAGGAAACCCATGGGTTATCTAGAATCAAGGAAAATCATCGAGTGGTTCAGTGGAATATTTCAATAAATATTCCAGTGAATAGTGTAAATTATAAACAATGAGAATATGAACGTGATTGGGATCCCCTCAAATACGATAATATTGACGAGACCCTAACGAATTATAACAGTGTCATGTAATTAACTCCCGCATACCCCATGTCGCATACTAAATTAATACCAAATTCAGTCACTCCAATTCTACATGTACTGGTAAATATAGTTTCTTTCGTGCTTGACGACACACGCGATATGATCCCATGACAATGCAACGCATTATGCATTCGTCATTGTAAATTCAAAACTTGGAGTTTAAACAGTAGAGTATAGCCATCACAATTACAGTTCTAGTTTCTCCACTATTGGAAGAAAGAGGTGAATGTGTCAGTAGTTGAGGGGTGCAGTATGAGGTCAACTGGAATATTAACAATTAATCAATCAAATTGTTATGTCCATCTGGAATTAAATTCCGTGAAATTCCAATAATTCACTGGCACGCGCCAAAAATTAGTCATCGAATTGTCGTTATTCCATTGCTCCCCCATTTGTTCATGACTGATTGCACCTAATGACGGAAATTATTTATCGACGTTTGTTGCTTTGCGGCTCTACGCAATTTATTACGTTGTCGACACGTGTGAATTCCCGGGAAAATTCATGTCTCTTGGTTTTGATTTTGGGACATTTCTATTTCAAATCTCACTGGTTGTTATTTTCGATTAATCGATCATTGGGTAATATTATGATGGACATGCGCCTTTTTGTTATTTACGACAGTCTCACGTGTAGCTGGTCTTGAACCCGTCCCATTTTTTATCGTCTATCTTAATCTACCGGTCATTTTGACCCCCTTTTAGTGACTTTAATTAATTTTTGGTGCTTTTTCCACGGGATAGTAATTATGAAGATGGAAAATAGAAATTAAAGGATAATTTGAGTCAAAAGGTAATGAAAATTATGAAGATCGTATATGTCATATACCTGCATTAACATAAATTCTGGTTTATGAGACCTTGACTTTATGGAGACAACAATTTGGGGTGAATTGTGGGTCACAAACGAAAAGAAAAGATGTATTCGCCTATTAAATGAATGAATTTAGTAGAATATCTGGGTCACAGGGACACGGTGTCAGTCGAGTTAGTTTATTTAAAGGTTTTGTTTGTTAATCGGTATTTAAAAATTATTCAATGAGATTTTTTCCTTTCGCGGAATTGGCGCCTCACGTTTTAAAATCCTCAGGTGATAAAAATATGATAACGCCGTTTCATTAGATTTCGTAATTTAGGTCACATTAGCTACTGCCATATTATAATCAGCATGTCAAATATTGAATGTTATTTTTTTTTCTGAGACAACTTTATGGTAAAGTTCGTAATTCCACCGGTTGTTTGTTGCAAATGTCAAGTTTTTAGCTGATAATTCTCATAGAAATTTCGGTAAGAGTTCAAATTCTATGTCATGACAAAAATTATGATAAAGAATTCCGATGAAATTTCGGCTTGTCCGGGGATAATCTGGAGGTAATTAATAATTTCATTCTGTCCGCCACTCGTGGTGCCACTAATTGGATGGAATATGACGGTCACAGGGTAAAACAGTCGCATTTGTGTCATGCGAGAGCAAATTGTTATCTTCCCTGAATTTACATGATCATAATCAAAATAAGAATAATTTAATTCCTTCAAAAATCCCTCAAAAAAATTAGTTTCACTTATTAGAATGCGACAAGATTTTCACATTTCATGTGGCTCACGAAGAGAAAATTTCTTGATGTCTTTAAATTTTCAAAATATTTCCAATTTTTAACAGAATTTTCAAGATGTCCGAAATTCCAACGGAATTATAACATGATAATTTCCGGAATGCCACTGGGAAAATTCAAAAAAAATTTCTCCCTGTTGTCGAAAATTCCGTGTTTTCTCCCTGAAAAAAAAAAAAATAAATAACACAAGCCACTTTCAATGAGGTCACGTCCCTGAACCCCATAAGTGCCATTAAACCCCAACCCTCGATTTTGCCTTTCCATTCGCCCAAGATTTGAGAATTTATTTAAATCCACCTTCTCCCCTACATCCGGCGCCATAAAAATTCCAGTTAAACTTTACATCAATCGTTTTCCGGCGTCTGTTTCTTATCACTCCACATTGCCACCCCAGCCAAAAAAAAAAATTGTCACCTCTGCTCATTCCTCCAATTTTTTATCTCCCTCGCAACTATAAAAAGACTGGCTTATCTCGGTTGACCCGCAAAAAAATCAGTTTTTCCGCATTATCGGAGTAGAAACAAACACCCCGGAAAAATGGAAAAGAGAGAAAAAACGGAATAATCGTAAACACCGAAATCCCAGTGTTATCATTATGACGAGTTTTGGGGATTATTGTTTAGATATTTTTTTTCAACTCTTCAACTGTTACACTGCATATGTTGAATATGCGCGCCTGGGAGGGGTGAGAAATTAGCGCAGGCGCGGGAAAATCCGAATGTATCTGAGCTATTAGACGCTTGGTTTAGCTCAGCTCTGCCGTCGTCGCTCGTCGTCGAGTGAGGGACGTACCCTCGTCCCAATCGCGTCGTTCGGAAAACCCATAAAAAAAATTGAAACCCCTAAAAAAAACAAAAAATCTGAAGAAAAAACATTGAATTTGCGAATTTCGCCGAAACACTCGGTAAAACGCCAAAAAATGCTTCACATTCAGCAATAACATCAATTATAATAATCAATGACGAGAATTGAACGAGGAAATAATAAATAAGTAAAGTAGAGAATGAAAAATTCATAAAGAACTTTTAATTTTCAAGTGTGACAGCGAGAAAAATGATTTTTCCTCCCTTTCGGTGGAAATGCCGAAAGTGATGCGGTTATTTCTCTAAATTAATGAATTCTCTCTCCTGTGAAACCTCCGAGTGATTGGAATTAGTGAGATACATATGAGATTTAATTTTGTTACGATATTTCTCTCATTCAGAAAAAAACTGAGTAACACTTATGTGACGAAGGAGAAAAATAAGAAGGTGTGCTAAAATAAACTGTCCCTGAGCTGAAAAACACTGGCCGATAATGCACAGCTGACCAAAAATTTATCGGTGAAAATAATTTCGATCTGTCGACGGAGGATCGTGAAAATCAACGATAATCGATAATTGGGGTGAAACGAGATAATCTGGAAAAAATGCGTGAAATGGGATAATTTCTACATGCGAATAATCACCAGCACGTGCCTTGCCACGAGAAATCCTCACCCTTCGATGGAATATAATCGAAGAATCATTTGAAGATTGGAAAAAGAAAAGGCAAATAATTAATGTACACGTGAACATGTCGAGTTTCAAGTGGTTATTACATCGTACAATCAACGATGACCTTTTGACAATCGTCCACCGGCGTATAATGCACTACGAGGGTTTATCGCCTTGCAACGACTCAATGAATGACATGACTGTCAATATTCACAACGAAACACTCTTTGACAACCACAAAATTCCGCAAATTAAAACTGCGCATTTCCACCTCAATAATCTTCATTGAATTATTTTGCGACAATCAGCACTCACCATGACCCCAAAGAGTTGCAGAGAAATACCCGATCGATCGTTCTAAACAATAAAATTGTTATTGTTATATTGGAGTTAAAACGTTGCGGAATAACCCAATTAAAGGCATGTACTGCTGGATCGTGGAGGAATATTCATAAAGAAACACAAACAATCCTTTGGAGATGTAAACAGAGGAGCTACATTGCCTCAGGATAAATACAGAGAGTATCCAGAGAGAGAAAAATAAAAGAAGTGTCTTAAATTCATTTTTGATGATTAAACAACAAGGTGCAAATGAAAATTTTCCATTGGCAAATTGAAATAGGATTATAATTCAACTGAGTAGGTTAGAGTCAACTTAAATCTTGGCAGAATCAGCAGCAAAGATTCATCATCACGCTTTATATTTAAAGGAAAATAAAAATAAACAAAATTCAATAATTCAGAGTAATTGAGAATATAGATGAATGATATTTAAAAAAACATTAAATTAAGAGTGAATTCTTTAAATCTTTATCACTTGGCATTTTACTACACGAGATTAATAATTATTGATAAAATTGATAGGTTCAAGTCTCACACTGGCCTTCAGCGCACTTGAATGTTATTATCTTGGTAAATAAATTTGGTGCGGAGTAAATTGACGAGTCAACGGTTTTTTCGATATACAAGGCTTTTTTCATTGTAAATGAATCATTGAAATTTTCGAGTGCGTTCACTTGGAATTATTGATGATAATAATTATGCTCAATTCGTGCTGTGCTTTTTTACATAAATCAATATAAAGTTATTGACAATAGATTAGTACGCAGTGATTAGGGGATAAGTTGGTCAATCGAGGAAACTTTTCATCAGTAGTTTTGATGAATTGAGTTGCTAGTTTTTGGAGAATCGCGAGTGTCTGTGCTGTGGGGTAGTGGAGACTATTTTTTCGTTGGATTTTATCGTTATTCAGGAGAAATGCCTGTCAGACGGGGCCACGTTGCACCAAGGACCACCATCATCGAGACCATCATCAGGAAGTTTGATACACACGGTGAGATTATTTTATTAGCCTCTTCCAATGATCCGGAGCCAATTCTCCTACGTCGCCGCTAAATTACATTTGAAATATTTCAAGTAACTTTTTTAAAACGACCAGATGCCATTGAATTTTTCTTCAACACTTTATTAACGAATCTCTCAATTTGTTTATTGGTCATTCTCAATTGCCAGGTCCATGTTACATTAAAAAACTGTAAAAATGTCGGGAATTTAAGCAACTATTTTTCTGAATATCCATTTTTATTGAAAATTCAATTGTAGTTCATATTTAATTTTTACCGTCCGCATGAAAATTCGAGCTTTCGTTGAAAAATCAAACATTATTTAACATGAAAATTTAATTTTCTTGAATTGTCGGGATAAATGAAAATGTGGAATTCGGTGGAGGTTGGGAAATATTAATGATATCAGAACACACGATCCAACGTCTAGAAAATGAGATTGATTTTTTCACAGCGATTTTGCGAGGTTCACACAATAAGATCTGTACCGTAAGTCTCTCGCGAGAACGGCAATAATATTCGAAGGTACCCGAATTGTCGTGGCTTATCGAGGGTGTCCTGCGACGAGGACAGCGTGGTATACCCCATCGGTATGGAATTCTGTTGCTAAGCCGAAATCAAAACAATGTGTTGAGCTGTACCGAATGAACCGATATCAAAATAAATGTTAATATAAAAGTAGCTTCGCTACAAAAAAATTTAGTGAGCGTTTACCATTCTAATGTTTAACAATGTACAGAGACAAATTAAAAATTTAATTTTAATCTTTAGGTATTAACAAATATAAATTACAAGTACTCTGAAAAATTTCTGTGAATGCACATAAAAAATAAAAGGAGAAATAAATACGTGAAGAATTTGGAAAGTTTTAGTTTGTGAAATTGCATAAACAAGTAATTCAAGAAAAATTATGGCTATGGATTGAATCAAATTGAAAAGCGATAAGTTGCTATCCGAAGTAGAGGAAAACAATTAATCACGAGAAAAACACATGGGGCGGTTAATTTGTTATCATTGACTGATGGAAGGATTGAGTCACTAGTGGGAGGCAGAATGAGCTCTTCAGAGGTTGATAACCGGAACAGGGTCAACGACTCATCCATTCTTTTTATGTAATTGTAGACAAAAAAAAATGTAAACTCGTTGCCACACTTTGTTATTTTTAAATATTGTTATTTTGCTGGTGGGTGGCCCTCTAAGAATTGAAATCAAACTGTTGTAGAATTTCTTGGACATTCCACAAACAATTACATTGGTAAATATTTTTTGAGATTTCAGTTACAAAAAAATCATCTAAATTTTCATTTTCAAGTATATGAGTTTGAATTTAATCTCAATTAAAAGCGCCCATAAATTTTGCATTTTAAAAATTTAGTATCAACTTGACAATTGAGAATCACCAGAATATTTCAGATATTAAATGGCTTGTCAGTGAAGAATTATTAAAAATTTCAAGTGCAATTTTTCAACAGTGTAAATTAACTGCCCGATTATGATGAAAAAAGCTCTGAAAACTTTATGTAGAATCAAAAAAAAATCAGGCTTCATGGATTCAATGGAACAGCAATATTGATTAATAAATTACATATACTTTTAATTTTCCCAGAATATTAATACAATCCGAAGAATTTTTTTTCTAGGATTTTCCTTCATAAATTGCATCCAGATAAAAATAAAAAATCAGATAGATTTCATTTTTAAAAACATCCTCTCTAGTTTAAAGAATATTTTCTGGAACAAAATTGTATTTTTTCTCTCAACATTTTATCTGGATGCAAGTTATAAATTCTTTTTAAACAATTCCGGAATTTGTATTATTTTAAGAAGATTAGAAGGTGTTTGCAGATGGTGTGAAACTTTGAATGTTTGCTCCGCCTAGCAAACGTTTGTTAATACATATGGAATTAGCCCAACCAGGGAGGTTGGAAATAAATTATTCACTGCTGATGAATAATTCATCAAGGTATACACAAGTGTGTCGTTTCTCCCCTCGTCGATCAGCAAAATTTCATACGTTCCGGGTATAGCGTATTGTGATTACGTCCCAATCATTGAAAATGATCCGATTATTTCGGAAGAACCAGTTGGTGCTATTCACCCTGCGACTGACAATGAAGAAACTGGACAAACGCCAATAGCGCTGAAAAAAAACCAGGCCGAGACTCATTTAAACCGACCACTCATCAAACCAGTTCCTCATAATTTCATTAATCCCCTAATGACTCAGGAATAATCGAGAGAAATGCACAAGCGTTTCCTCAAAAAATATTGTGAAAAAGTTATTAAAAAGTCATTAAACTTTCAGTCAGAAAGATTTACTTACAATCTCTCATTTGAAAATTTGGGTTTTTTTGTTTTTTTTTTTGACTTCTTTCGGTTAAGGGAGAATGATAAGTGATTTTTCATTGAAAGCTTAAATTTTCATGTTAATTGCGAAAACTTTACTAATTTCATTTCATTTTTTTTAAATTTTAATCTTAGTTTTTTTAAATATTTGATGTTGAATTAATTCAGTCAACTGAAAATTTACGGAAATTATTGCTTCAATCTCTGACATTGTTAGCTTTCAGTATCATATGTTAAAAATTTTTTAGTTTTTTTATGTGAAATTTGAAGTATAATATTCCAAGCGTGCCCAAACAAGTCGTTAACAGAAAATTCTCCAATATTTTCAAAACAATGATTCACCTTTCATCAATTAAGTTCACTCCATTAAGACGAATAAGATCTATGAATTTGCATATAAAATGGCCGCAATGGTAAAATTGAATGCCTCCATAAAAAATCGTTATTTTTGACGTGTGACATAACAGAAAAAATGAAACTGTTTACTAAAATACCCATGAATTGATGAAGAGTTGTCAGAACTATATACTTTTGATGTCAATATCAAGGTAATTCAATGTATTTTCATCCAAACACAAAATGCCTATTCAAATTTGGACATAAACCGAAAAAATCTCACCACTATGAGAAAAAAGACGGCCATTCTCAAAACGTGATATACTAAAATGACTATATTATGGCTCATAGCTATTGATCTAGTGGATGGAATAGCTAATGAGATCTACGAATTGATGTGTGACATGTCCTCGTAGATCAAGTCTAAAGCATCGATAAATAGCAAAAACTGTCATTTTTGGAGTGTGACATAATGTGGAAAATGGAAATAATTCCCAATAATTCGGTGAAAATTCTCCTACGTAGGATTTGTCGCACACCATCAGGAAGAGTAAATTATCTTCAAAATGATATATGAATAGTGCAGCCTAGTGCAGTTCAGAGCATCATAAAATATCCAATCGAATTTAAGACTTCCAGCAAACTAAAGAAATTGATTTTTTGCCTAAAAGTGGCATAAGTAGAGGAAAAATGATTAGAATTCAGGATGAGTCTAGTGTCATTTTGAAGCTCATCTAATAAGTTTTCCAATGAGTATACTTCATTCCGGTTTATGGAAGGGGGAGCTAGGCTGAAACCTAAGAAACAAAAAAAAGCCTGGCGTTCATAACGGATTTTTTACTGGGGGATAAATCATTTGTTTAAAATTTGGTTTGGTAAATTTTTTCCTGCGATCTATTCAAATTGAATAAAATATATTTATATAATTTCAAGTCTTCCTCTTACTCTAATTAAATAATAAAGTAATATGGATTTTAACATTTCAATTTTATTTTATAACTTTCAAGACAACCACTAATCCTGGAGTCATTTTTTTTCAAATGAAATCGCCACATATAATATATTTATTACATATATACATATACTTTGTATATGTAGAAATAGTTCACTAACCAAAAACGTTATCCTCTTTTTTTCAATGGAGAGATTTTTCGAGGCGGGTCGTTATCTTGAGTTGTTTTACTCAAACGTAGAGATCAGTCTCGATGTTGGGTCGATGTCTGTTTCTGAACCTTTCTACTGCGACGTGGACATCCCCTAGAGAACTGCCCTGCTCTTGTGATACAGTAATATGGAGATCACCACATATGCATTGTTTTGTAGCGACTCCTTTTCGTGAGGAATCTACGTCGATGCGAACGTCTCCAGAATGTTCTGTGTCATGTTCTTTTGCGAAGTGCACATCACCCTTGAAAAATTTACACATAATTAATAATTATTAATTATTTATCCCGTTTAAAGAAATGCTGGAAATTTCTTGGAATCTTAGTCATAATTTCATCTGAATTTTTTATTAAGGTGGTTGTCGCGCGACAGTCTCTGTAAAAAGTTTATCCGCTGTAAAACGGGCCAGTTTAGAACACAATCTTTTAGCGGTATATAGTCTCACTTGATTGATTGCATTGTGCATGGATAGCTAAAGCATAACTATATATTTTCCATATTAACTATTTTCAATTATATAAATTTATGAATTTCCGATAATTATATTCCGTAAACCAAACGGTCAATCGATTTGATTTTTTTTTCTGTATTTCCTCCCACGATGTATATTCCACGTTTTTTTTTATTTCTGAAACTGTCGAGCCGTTGATTTTTAAAAAATTCTAGTCGGCAAAACTCCATTTTAACACGTGTTAAATCACTCGAATTTCAAGAATTTATAACTCAAGTTCAAAACGGTCAATTGCAAACGGAAAAGGCTCATTTTGTTGCTAATTTTTTAAACTATTCACCATAAAATTTTTAACGAAAACTGTCGAAAAAAAATTCTACGCGACAACAACCTTAATTATTTAGGGGAGATCCGGGCGAAATGGGACATCCCGGCAAAACGGGATGCGGACAAAATGAGAAAAGATAAAATGGGATGAAGCAGGAGGTTCAATGCGAGACGAGGGGAAAAAATGGTCCTAAGAATCTATTATTCAATATTTTACTTTTTCCACGATTTTATTACTCTTCATCACTGATAAAAAACGTTAAATTCTCATGTAAGGAATTTTACGGTCAAAAGGATAAATGACCGATTCAAGTTAGATGGCGCATTTTTGAGAATGTAGAAAAATCAAAAAAGAAGAAAAAAGAA